ATATCCTCCTGTGATCTAAGGATATCCTCCTCACTATTTACCACTCCGTGAAATTTCTATAGCATCCACAAAATTACTGATAAACTGTCCTACGTTCAAGTCTAAATTATTCATATATGTACCATGAACAGCTAGGGCCACAAAACGGACCTTTGCAGGATCCCACTAAACGCAGGCTTCCAGTCACAAAAACATCCCTTGTACTTCGCCTTCTACTTCCTGCCACTGTGCCAATTATAGATTCAATTAGCCAAATATCTTGGATCCCATCGGCTCTTTGCCACATTGTATGATTTTCTTTCAATTTGATATTGTCCTTAACTTCCTTGGTTAACCAAGGTTCGCTGAAACAAAAAAACAAGTATCTGTGGAAAACATTGTAATCGTACGTGCGTCTGTTGCGGTGAAAGAGAAAGAAAGAGGAGAAATGTGGCAAGATGAGTAATGGAAAGTGGACTGCCAGGAAGGAGAAAAAAGTTTAAGGCCAGATGAGAGATAGGATGGTAGACAAAGCAGGAAAGATAGATGAATGGCTGTCTGACAGAAGATGACGAGAGATTGATCAACCATCACTGTGGTAACCCCAAATGAAAAATAAAACAAAGGAGGACAGTGGTGTTGCAACATCACTATCTCATGTGAGGCCTTATCAAAAGCCTAGATGAAGTCCAAGTAGACTATATCTAATGCATTACTCTCATTTACATACCTGGTCACCTCTTCAAAAAATTCAATCAAGTTAGTCAGACCTCCCCTTAACAAAACCATGTTAACTGTTCTCTATTAATCCCTGTCTCACCAAGTGGAGATTAATTCTATCCCTCAGAATTGCTTTCAATAGTTTCCCAGCCACTGAGGTTGGACTGACTAATCTATAGGATCATGGTTTATTGCTACTTCACTTCTTGAATAATGGTATCACCTTGGCTGTCTGTCAGTCCTCTGGCACCTGTCTTGTGACCACCGGAATTGAAAATTATTGCTAGTGCCTTTGTTATTTCTTCACTCAACAACCTAGGATACATTTCACATGGCCCTGGTGATTTATCTACTTTGAAATCTGCAGACATCTACCATCAAAAAAGTAGCATACAGACAGAAGATTCTAATTACATCACAGTCCTTCTCCCTGATTGTTATACATACATTTTTCACCAGTGCAAGGAACATACGCAAAACGTATTCCCTTCCTTTCCTCTTTTTTGAATAAAGGTTTTACATTGGGCATTTTCCAATTCTCCAGGATGTTTTCAGAATCCAAGGATTCACAAAAGATTACTACCCGTGCATCAGCTACCTGTGTTTACTTCCTTTCATTTCCTAAAGTGCAACCCATCAAGTTCAGGCGACTTATTAGCCTTTAGTCCCATTCGTTTCCGTAAGACCGTAAGACATAGGAGTACATGTCTACCATTCAGTCCATTGTGCGTACTCCTCAATTCGATGAGAACATGGCTGATGTGATTACCCTCAACTCCACTTTCCTACCTTTTCCCCATTGCCCTTGATTCTCTTACTGAGTAAAAATCTGTATATCTCAACCATAACTCTAGTGCTTTCTCTCTAGTGACAGTTATTGTATTTATTCCCTCTCCCCACACCCCCACCTGCATTTTGGCCCACGATTATTTAGTATTTTTGGAATGTCAGTGTCTTCCATCATGAAGACTGCCGCAAAGTATTTACTCCTCTGTCACATCCTGGTTGCCTATTGCTATTTCCCCAGCCTCGTTCTCTTTGGTTCCTAAATTCAATTTGATCTACCTCTTCCTTTTTGTCATACTTAAAGAAGGTCAATGATATTGCTAGTTTACCCTCAAAGTTTATTATCTCCCTCTATTATTTTTGGTCATGCTTCGTTGGTTTTTAAAACATTCACAATCCTCTAATCTTTGCCACATTGTATGATTTTCTTTAAATTTGATACTATCCTTCACTTCTTTGGTTAACCAAGGTTCGCTGAAACAAAAAAACAAGTATCTGTGGAAAACATTGTAATCGTACGTTCGTCTGTTGTGATGAGAGAGAGAGAAAGAAAGAGGAGAAATGTGGCAAGATGAGTAATGGAAATTGGACTCCCAGGAAGGAGAAGAAAGTTTAAGGCCAGATGAGAGAGAGGATGGTAGACAAAGCAGGAAAGATAGATAAATGGCTGTCTGACAGAAGATGACATGGGAGGTTGATCAACTAGCATTGCTGTGACCTCAAATGGAAAGTAAAACAGACAAAGGAGGACAGTGGTGTTGCTATATTTAGCCAAATAGTCACAACCACATGCTCAGATACCACAATCCAAACTTAACCCAGAGTCACCACTAGACACAATTTCCCAAGTCTACATAACGACTTTTAGGACAGACTGAAGATTTTAAAAGCACTTGTGACAACGTGAGGTGGCACAACAACGACCCAGTGGGTAGAGCAAATGCCATCGTGATTTCTCTATTTTTATACATTTGTAAAATGCTAATCTCAGTTACCAGAAATAAAAAGTTCGGAAAAAAAAATCTGACATCATTTTGAAGGAGTGGTCAGACGATATTATTCCTGGTATCCTAGCAGCATATAGTTTCACATATAGTTCTGAGCGTCCGACTTCTGGTGTAGCACATATAACGTTGAGAACACCCCATTACAGCGCTAGCTACGGTTAGAACTGGTACTGCAAGTGTTCAAATTCAGCTTTCAATTGAGCGCATGCCTCCCGTACCAAATTTTATCTATAATGGATGGCACTAATTCCCTCGATGAATTAAGAAAAATATATTAAAATACAGTAAAGCGTGCTGAGTAATTATATTCAGATACACATCAACCATTGTATTTGCAAACTCGGTAACAACTAATTACGAGTGGTCCCCTCATGCCCGCTTAACGAGCTTTCTTTGAGAGTTATCATGAAAGGTGAGGGATATTAGAAAGATGCTGTACCTACTTTCGCGAAAGCATATGCTTTACTGGAAACAGAGTTGTATTTTGGTCTGGCAGAAACCGGAGTTATTGGCAGATCCACATCTGAAATTCTAACATTCTAAAATTCTCATGGGTCTCAGAATTGGGGCAACCTTCATGCTATGCGCAAACATCCGTAACGTTCAGCGCTAATTCCAAATATTCCGTGCGATTATTGGGAAGCCACTGAAATTGTAGAAAGTGATTTGTAGAAGTCCCAGTGCTGCAGCACACAGCAAGCCAAACATTACAAAGAATGACATCAGGAAACAAATGCTTAACGCTTTTAGGGGAATTCAAATGCTATCACTCGCCTTCGAAAATTGAACTTTTCGTCACTATTACGTTAGAAGGAAGTTAAAATCGGTTAACAGGTGCCTCAAAATGTTCACCCATTATCATTTTGCAGTAAATAATGTTCACTCTATAGCATCCATCGCCACTTAAACTGATTTGCATTGGCCTATATCAGGGAATTGAGACTGGAGGCTCCAAAATGGATTTTCGCCTGAATCGGCAACAGGCTAAATATCAAAATTCTTCAATTTTCGATAAAAACGAGCGTTAAAATACAGCACACGTCTGTTATTATTTCATGTCCAATGGCCAGTTGAATCCCGCCTAAAAAAAAACCGAAAGAACTGCGGATGCTGAAAATCAGAAACGAAAACAAAAATTGCCGAAGAATTCAGCTGGTCTGGCAGCGTCTGCAGAGAGAAATCAGAGCTTTTCAGTTCTGAAAAAGCGTTACTCGATCCGAAACGCAAACTCTGATTTCTCTCCACAGACGCTGCCAGACCCGCTGAGTTTTTATAGCAATTTCTTTTTTGTTGTTTCTGAAATCCTACCTAACCAGGTTCTGGAATGAGACCTTTAAGTGGTACCGTACTGTCTTCACGATTCAGTGTTTGCCAAAGGGAAACATCCAAAGGATTGGTGCATTTCGTTCCCACCATCACTTTCCTCCGCCCCAGCTACTTGTACATGTAATGCAATTCAGTACATTGTGTGTTTTTTGAAAAGAATAAACAATTTGGAATATTTTCTTTGCTGTAGACGATGGCCCTGTCCAGTTCCTGAGTAAACCAGGTCTGTTCTGAACAAGATAATAAATTTGCTCTGTGCAAGTCAGTTATTGGGCTGAGGCTCTGCAAAATGTTTCTTGGAAGACCCATGTAGATATTGTTTAGGGAACAGATATACAACAACGAATTAACAAGAACCTGGCTGCTAACAAAGTTAACTTCAACACAGCTTCGCTTTCCTCATTCACCCTCTATCTGATCTGACACAGGCAGCATCCATTTAAAAGTTATTCGTTGATTTTAAAAACCATGTCTATCCTGTCATATTATAAAACAAAACAATTCAAAACACAATGCTCCCTGTTCTGTTTCCTCTGTTGATTCATAACTTTCTGAACTGATTCATAAATGGACATGATTTGACACAGTCATTCTATTTTAATGGACTCAGTAATAAATAATGCATGCATTCGTTTTTATTTGATTTAGTCATTGAACATATCAAGCGGAATCCCCAAATTTAGCATGATCACAGTGCAGGCAAAAAGGTAAACATTGAGAACGGGATACGACACTGTCCACCGGCGGCGCCCTTCACCGACAATATAGCTGTAGCAGACACTGACGCACCGATACAATAGTTTAATCGTATGTGAAATGTCGACACAAAGTCAATGGGCATTTATTATTCCGATAAACTAATCCTTTGGCGGAATAACTGGGATATGTAATCAACTAAAGGCCGATATGTAAGGATGAATTATTTGGGAGGGCGGGGAGATGAAATACAGAATTCAACATAAGCATCAGATGCAATGGAAATTCTCTCTCTCTCTCTCTCCCCCCTTCCAAAGCCTCCAACCCTCAATTTCACACAACTCTGATCTCTGCGGGGCACATGCACTAGAGGGAAAAAAAAATCACTGAAGTGTGCGAAGAGGGTGACAAAATCTAACAATTTCCACGCAGCCCTTTTGCCACTTTGCACAATGCAGAAACAACAACCTGAGGATAACCACTTACTTGGTATTCTAAAGCCGCATCGTGTTGTGTTTGTGTCCACAGATTTTTTTTTTAAACAGTATTCAATGTTTCACATCCTGATAATCGAATATCTGTTCAGGAAGAGGCGTAAAACACACTTCAGTGGCCGGCTCTTTTTTCCCTGCCTTGAAACATTTCCCCCCCCTAGTAACTCCTTTATTGTAAATGGGGAGGTCTCGCTCCAGGTGCTAACCCGCTCCCCGCGAAACGACGTGACCACATTTTCACGTGTGTCGGGTAGTTCAATTATTTCAACAATATCATCGCGTTTTGTAATTCCAAACCCAACGAAGCGACGCACAAAGTAAGAATTTCTTCATTTGTACTTTCGCCAGAGGAGGAGGGCAGACACATAGAATGAGGTTGTTGAAGAAGAAGAAAAAGGTAAAAACACAAACGCAGGCGTTGAAAAAAGCCCTCCTCGAAGCCTCGAGCTGCCTTCACTGTTCATTCGGCTTGTGGAAGCTGTGGGTGTTATTTGGTTGTAAGGTGAATCAGCAGTTGTCTCCTCTCTGGGTGCCGGGCCCGGCTGACAGCGAGCTCCCTCTCTTCCCGCCCTCCAGCTCCGGCACTGCGCACGTGTAGTGACACCACCGGCGGTAAGACCAGGGGGAACTGGCTCTACCGCTTCACTCTGCACTCTCCCCACCGCTTCACTCTGCCCCCTCTCTCCACTGAGGGATCTCCCACCCCCTCCCCACTCTCCACTCTCCACCCCTTCTCTCTGCCCCCTCTCTCCACTGAGGGTCTCCCCCCTCTCTCCACTGAGGGTCCTCCCAGCAGCCCCACCCCCCTTCCCACCGCTTCTCTCTGTCCCCTCTCTCCACTGAGGGACCTCCCCCCTCTATAGCGCTTCTCTCTGTCCCCTCTCTCCACTGAGGGACCTCCCCC